AAGAGTTATATTGGCGTCTAAACGGAACTTTTGAGCATGGTTCCGAGGAAAAAAATACAAATTTTGTTTTTAACCACCCTAACATACATATATGTTAGTACATGTATTATTGTATTACAAAGTTACCTGTGTACATAAACATGATTAAAAATCATATAGTCTGTTCCTTTGAACTTCGGACTAAAACCTGTGGAGCTCTCAATTGTCATGCGTGCGTTCGACAAGTCAAAAATTTGTAATAGTTTTCCACATTTTTACTGGATGGCGTTCGATAACGACAAAAAATTATCCAACACACAAAAATTGAGAGAGCAAGCGTTCATTTTGATGCAAGAGAAGCGTTCATTTTGTACTGGCAAAATTTTAGTCAGAAAAAATTATCCAACACGAAAACATATGATCACAAAACATGTGGTTGCAATTTTTGTAAACAAACAAAATTGCATTTTCCGAGTTTTGGTATTTATATGCTGTTTGGCTGCCTGCTATGGGACTTTATGATAGCGCCAACTAGTTTTTACTTCTAGAAATTTTCCTGGCGAACATTGAACGTTCACTTTCCTTTTTTCTGCTATGGAGGCAACATGAATTTCAGTTTGTTTACAAATAAAACATAAACAAAGTCAGCTGGTGTGTCTTCTTCTTCCGGTTTTTGCAAGTAATGGCTAATTTCCTGTTCGTTTACTTTTTTGCTTTTTCATCTCTTTGGGAGAGAATTTTCGCTTACTCTCTCGATTTTGATTGTTGGCTGATGTTGGCTAATTTTGTTATCGAACGCAACTAATGTCAATTTTACTCTCTCAAGTGAGAGTAAAAGGAGAACAGATGCAGAAGTGCACGGGAACGCAAAAAGCACTATTTCCTGTAAAAACGTCAGTCGGTTTGTTTAAATGTCATTGGCACAGCACTGATTTGACTGATATATCACTTACTATTTATCACAGTATACAGTAATCCAGATAGGCAAAACAAAAAATGTAAATATGCTTATTTGACAATTTGTTTGAATGTATTGGTTGATATTTTTTGACAGTTGTCATTTTCGTTAACCCAAATGAAATCAAATTTAATATTTTCTTATAGTGAAAAATATTTTCAAGTGACGTAAAATAAAATAACGGGAAAAATAAAATTCGAAGAAAATCAGGAGTGAAGTGTTAGCGATTGTGACCGGATGTAGTTCCTACATAAGCCATACAGCGTTCCGAACACAACTTTGCGTGAATAATTGAACGTATAAGGGCTGACTTTGTGTAAAATGGTCCCATCGATTATCGATCATGAGAAGTATTGGTTCAGCCGTGTCTGTTTGTAAACAGGCTAACTCGAAGAAAATTGAGATATTTTAACGAAAGTCGGTGCCGAAGTTGCCTTTGGTATAATTTAGGTTAGTATTAAATTTTGGCGAAATCTGTCAATAACCACGCCACCTCCCATTTAGTAATTAACAATACTTTTGTTTGTATTATTTTTTATGATTTTGCTGTTTAAATTTACAATTCGAATATATCCACAAACATTTGTGGGTACTTTTGCACCAGCCGTTGCCTATGGGTTAATGACATAAAAATCCTACACATGCACAATATTTCATGTATTAATTTTCAAATAAGCATATTGTCAATGGCTGGTTTACTGTATACTGTGCTATTTATTAAAATATATTTTCATATTCAAATATTTCGTTGTTTACTTCCATTATTTTACAAATATAAGGTTCTTTGCTCTCACCGCTTTCTGTTTTTGTTTGCACTTGCAAATCAGCTGATCGTTTGACACTTTTCATGAACTTACAGGAAAAAAAACTCCGGACTAAATCCTGTAACTTCTGACTAGGAACAGTCGCTCAGTTACTCTCTGAAAAGTGTTCCCACTTAGAGGTTTTAAGTCAATAGGAACGACTTCCTGTAAGTTCTGACTAAATCCTGTAAACCGGACTGATATTGGAAGAGACTAATAAATGGAAAGCAAACAATTTAGTTACTAGGCATGTACGAGAAAAACCGTATGTATAAACAACCCTGCAAAAATCGCGACTACTCCATGCATGCGTGTAAAGAGTACTCCCTAAGGACCAAAGAGTACTCCAAAATTAACCACAATTCATATAAAAAATATGGTCCAATAAACATTGCGATGTCCTAGGGCAGGACCATATACTCCATCCCTGCATTACATCAGAGTAGCACAAAACTACTCCAACATATTAACAATGGCATTGTTGTTATATTTTTTCGTTTGTACACGCTTTTGTTCTTCACTTCTCAAATGCTTTTTCGAAATTAATAAAAACCAAGACAAAAATTAAAAATTGCATGTTGCCTCTGACAGCATTCGAACCCGAACATGCTGGGAGCTAAGAACTAACAGCGAGCATCTCTACACGTTCAGCTACCGTTCCCACGACAGTCGGGTCTACGTAACCGGAACGACCCAGATTTATATCTGGCCAAGGACTGTCACTCCAGCAACACTCCCTAAAAACTCTTTGGGGAGTTTGTATGCTGTTACAACAACAACAACACGTTCAGCTACAGCCAGACATGCAAATGTGCTTTCAAATGTTCAACTTCAACCACATTTCGTTAAAACACGAGCAGTGATCGGATAACAAACAATAAGCCGGCGCAGAGACACGAGTTGGTCCGCTACAGCATGACAGAGGAACACTTTTGTAAGTACTCCAGTTTACCACAAATAGACTACATGGTCCAACGATTTTTGCATGGAAGTAAGAAAGTCTAAGTTCGGGCGGAGCCGAACATTAAATACCCGGCGCAAGTATTAAATATATGTTTTCCACCTTTCCGAAAGCTACCGCTAGATGGTAAGTCGGGGTGTATCAATTTTGAGTAAATTAGCGTCCTTAAATTTCGAAATATTGGAGTTTCAAGCATTTCTCAAATTTACCGTTATATGAGAAGCGGCCGTAATTTTAGTCCGATTTCAATAATTTTCAACGTTTTGCTTTTATGTGGCAAGCACAATAACTGTACCGAGTTTGGTACAAATTGGTTGAACCGTTACCGAGATACATATATGTGATCATAAGTGGGCGGTGCCACGCCCATTTTCCTAAATTTTATCATAAACGTATTTTTTGGTAAAGAATTGTTGCAAGCATCAATTTTGAATAAATTAGCTTTAATATTTCCTGATTTATCGAAGATTTTGTATTTCTCTAAATTACCGTTATACGGGATGTGGGCGTGGTTATTGTCCGATTTTAAAAATTTTCGGCCATTTGGTATGCTGTACCAAGACCAACAACTGTTCCAAGTTTGGAAGAAATTGGTGCAGCGGTTACCAAGATATACGCATGTAATCATAAGTGGGCGTGGCTACGCCCATTTGCCAAAATTTTTTAATATTCTTATTTTTCGTCTAAAACTCATTGCAAATATCAATTTTGAGTGAATTATCTTCAGAAGTTACTAAAATATCGCAGTTTTCGCATTTCTGAAATTTACCGTTATATGGGAGGTAGGCGTGGTTGTCCGATTTCGCCCATTTTCAATACCATCCGTCCTACGCCCAGAAGAAGTACATGTACCAAGTTTCGTTACGATATCTCAATTTTTACTCGAGTTATCGTGTGCACAGACGGACGGACGGACGGACTGACAGTCACCGCTTAATCGATTTCTCTTTTCATTCTGATCATTTATGTATACATTTGTCTATATCTATCTCGATTCGTTTGGCCTGTTACAAACAACCGTTATGTGAACAAAGTTATAATACCCTTGTGCACAAGTGCGCTCGGGTATAAAAATTTATACTTTCCTAGAAATAAAACTTCAAATCGATTTGCACTCATTTGTATTGATTTCTAAGAAAAGCAATTAGAGTTCGATGGTTCGATGGTTGTGGGGAGCCACAGACGTGGACATCCCATCTTTTCTTTCGTAATGGAGAACTTTTGCGGAAAATGTACTAAAGCCTTTTCAAGATCTGATGCTAATCTGCTGCCGTGTAATGGGTTTTGTAAAAAAACTTTTCGTCGTGTTTACTGCAAAGACGTTTCTGAATATGATTTCAATTTGGTCAAAACTAAACGTAATCTATTATATCTTTGTGATGAGTGTGTTGTCATGCCAGAGAAAATCGTTAAGGCTCTGGATGCAGTTCTGGTAACTCAAAAGCTTAGCGTTGATCTTATTTCAAACCCTTTTGATGCTAAATTCAAAGATTTATCGAAACAATTTGATGCAATAAAAGATCTAATAATCTCCTTGCATTCGAGCAACAACTCGAGTGCAAATAACCTTAACGCTGTGAATGCTGATATGATGGCTGCGGAATTCAATGCCAGAAAAACTGCTGCTAATATTTCTTACAACAATAACTACTATTGTTCCTCGCCTGGTGTTTTTGAGCTTTCCGCTGTCCCTCATGCATTTAATTCGCCACGGGCACAGTTTGTCAGTAACATTAACGGTATCTCTCCCGCTCATTTGGATTCTGCTGTGACAATCGCTTCAGCTGTCAATACACTTGTAACTAACTAGCACATACACCTCTGTTACTGCGCCTACATCGCTGTCATCCGTTGCTCTTCAATCTACACCTGCTGTCTCTCTTAGCACTACTTCTACTAGACCATCTTGCTCGTCGTTCGCGGATGCTGTTTTGTTGGCTAATACTAATACTAATATTAATACTAATACTAGTTCGCATGGCTCTAATAGTGTGCGTCAAGCTGGTGGCCTCATGGATACAACTACTGTCGCAGATTGCACTGTCAATTTACCTGCTGTTACCACTACCACCACGAAGCCATCAACCCCGTGCACTGCTAATGCTGTTGTTGCGCTAATACATCTTTACCCGATATGAGCTACGCTGCTGCTGCCGCTGCTGGCACTAATTCCGTGCAATCGAATGGAAATCGCTCTGTTAGGTCTCCTGCCGGTGCTATTGCGGAAATCAACACTGATGATTCTTATAATTCTGCTGCTGTTAAATCTTCATCTGTCAGGCCGACTGCTGTTAGTACAATGCCAACCACAAGTGGTACGAATGTTACACATGGCAACATACATGAACGAAGTGCTGATAAATCTGTTGATGCTATTGCGGCCGCTAATGAAGATGGTGGCGACTCTGCTGCTGCCCGAAATTTAAATAGGCCCAAACGCATAAACATTGTTCATGGGCGTAGTAATAATACAGATCTCGAGGTGGTCATTAAAAAGAAATGGTTGCACATTTCCTCCTTTAAACCGTCTGTATCTGAGGAAAACCTTATTGCGTATGTATCTAAACATGCAAAGATCGATAGTACACACCTGATGTGCTACAAATTAGTAAAGAAAGGAACTCCACTTGAGAGTCTTCGGAGCGTGAACTTTAAGATTGGTGTGATATCTTCACTCTACAACAACATCTTAAATCCAAATGTGTGGCCGTCTGATATCATTGTGCGGCCCTTTCGATTTTTTCAACCAGAAGCTAACCAAGGAAGTTCCAAATAGTGTTATACAGCCTAATGCCGAATATACATGCAAAAATCTGAATATATACTTCCAGAATATGGGTGGAATGCGCACAAAAGCTAAAGAAGTCTTTCTTTGTTCTTCACGTATGGATTATGACATTTTCCAGACTTATAGGAAAGACCGTGATGCTGAGAAAACTGGCCACTTCAAAGGGGGTGGTGTACTAATTGCTTTAAGGCGTAGTCTAAGGTCGTCATTTTTGAATTGCTCAACCACGATACTCTAAAGGCCCATCCACATACAACTTTGGCGTTGCGTTGGCGCTGGCGTCGCTTTGACAGCAGCGCGCGTAACGCCCGTGCTTGCTACAATGAACGCTTAGCACAGAATACTTTGGTCACTAAATTAACATACTAGCGGCTGATAAATCAAAATTTTTACATCAATAATTGCATTAAAAACTATATTTCTTGCCCGCATTTGATTAAAAATTAAAATTAAATCACATAATTTTGATTATTTAGAACAGCTGACGAACGACGCGCGCGAAAAGTTGAGAGTTGGCCATCTTTCTGCGTTGTGTTGGCGTTGGCGTTGCCCAACTTTGGTTATATGGAGACTTTCATATAAATACATGTATTCATAGTCAGCTGTCGAAGCGACGCCAACGCCAACGCAACGCCAAAGTTGTATGTAAACGGGCCTTAATTGACCAACTATGTGTGCGCGTTGTTGGCTCGTTCGGCTCTTTGTTTATCTGTGTATCATATGTCCCACCTAACAGTTCAGATGAGTTATATAACTATCACATAGAGAATATCACACACATCTATGAAAGTAAAGGACATTGTAATCTTTGTATTCTTGGCGACTTCAATCTCCCTGGCATCAACTGGACATGCTTTCAAAACTCGGGGCGCCTTACCCCAACCAACGTTACTCGTTCGCATGAAATAAACTTTATTGATAGTCTTTTTAGCCTCAATCTTACGCAAATTAATTGCATATTCGAATAAAGCTACATCACAATTTTATAATTGGAATAATTTAGATAAATTCTCAAATAATAAGTCAGTTTCACGCTAGTTCTTTTAAAGTAAATTTGTGCATAACATTTAGATATCTACTATTTGTATGTTTCACAGCATGCTTTCGATAAACATCGACTTCACATCACTGCGGTTGTTCTGGCTATTTCACACAATTAACAAGAAAATGATACCTTATTCTTTTGCATAATCATGCAATGAAAATAAAAATTACATAAACGGATGATCAAACTTGACATTATTTAATAAAAATGTAATTTTTCCAAAATATCGTAAAGAAAAATCGATACATTTTCACACTCATTTTGCTATATCGTAAACTAAGTCGAAACTACTTAGTAGAAGTCTGAAATGCCACTATGAATAGAGGTAAATATTAAGTTGGTACTTAAATTTAAGTTGCAACTTTGTTAGTTTCGACTTAGTTGCTGGACTATGAATACGCGCCATAATGTGCAAGTTTCAAGGGCTGAAAGTTACCGTTGATTTTTTAGAATTTATTTCGCCAAAGGTGTTGCGGTTTTCATCCATATACAAATAAATTGAGTTTATTCATTATATGGAAGCCAATGCGACAAAAAAAATTCTAAAAAATTAACGGTAATTCGTAGCCACTTGAAATTTGCACGTTATCAGACTAAAATTACAGTGGCAAAAAAACTGTGTACTCGAAAAAATTCTTACACTTCCGAGAAATATGTTTGAAACTTAGGTGAAAATTTGTTGCACTTTTTTGAAGTTTTCTACAAATTGTTAAACTTGGGTTTATATGTGGTTTGTTAGAGAAAGAACTGTATTTTAATTGAAAATTCTTAAAAATAAATAAATAAACATAAGTGGGACACAATATCACTTTGAAATGGCGTGCTATAGATATGACCGATACTGTATATACACATCAAGATTAAGATTCTTTCTCAAATTAATTACTGCAAATCACTACCATATATTAGGTTTGTATAGCAACCAATAGTCAGTACTAATTTTTACTGGAACCTGCAAATTTTTACTGGAAAAGTAAAAATTTGCAACAGAGCACTGAATCGAGAGCGTAATAACAAGGGTGAGCTGCAAATTCTTGCAAGTGAAATTTTTACTAGCAGAAATTAGTTGCGTTCGATAACAAAATT